GTGACAATGGCATGCAAAAAGATCGAGGGTGAGGAATGTCACATGACTTGAGAACATGAGAAGATAATATAATAAAATAATGAGGACATGCATTTGAGGTTCCGACTTTTTTAATGAATCAGATTAACTCTGTGCTCCGTCAATTTCTGTCATGAGCTACCTGCACCTATATCATGTGCATATCTATTATATATATACACTACACACACGTGTGTAGTATAGTTGATGTTAGTCTATATTGATTTGTATATATGGAACGTACGTAGCGTGACGGACTTCATACTTCAGTCGATTTTTCAAATCTCGTAAAATTAGGTTTTAATTGAGTGACGATGGGTGACATAAGTGAATGTACTTTCTTACTATTCTAAAAATTCTATTTAGTTTGAATATTTTTTTTGAGAAAGAAAATGATAGGTAGAATGAATAATTGTTGATAAATAGGAGTACGTATTTCGATCATTAATTTCGTTTCGCAAATTTGTTGATGACATCGACAGACCAACGATAACGATTAGCAATACGTTTTATTATTCGTTTTGCAGTCGTTTACAACCATATTTCTTTTATATAATTGTTGGTTTAACCACAAATCATGGCAACCAATTTTTACAACTATTAACTTAAAAAATTCAAATCTGATTTTTTTTTAGTGTTATTTATATTCGACTGCCGATCTTTCGAGGAGCCAATACCTACAAATTGGTCGTTAATAGCTGATTGCTGCTGTTGGCGACTGCAAAACAAGCATAGCTTTGGCTCCTCATTTAAAATTATCAGATAATAAGCCCATAAAAGCCCAAGAAAACTCTCGAAAGGAGGATTATAGACAAGAGATCTTCATCTTCAAACTATTTTAGACATTTTAAGATTCCTATAAAAGAGACSTTGATAGAAAATTGGTGTCTCTGAGATACAATTAGCACTTTAGTAGCATATTTTTTGTTATTCAACTATTTTTGGGTGCAAAATTGAACCTTTTTTTTTATATGAATATTAAGAATTGAACTTTCTCAATGGAATGGAAGGAATATATAATAAGGGAAGTAATTTGAACCACCTTTAGATTCAACCTCGCTTAGTAAAGACTATTAAATGTCTTTAGTTTGAAATCGTTTCAAAATAAAAAGATTGGTTTATCAATTTAATTGGGTAGTAGTGGTAAACAAATGATAAATATGTGAGAAATAAATCTAAGCGATACGTGTTGTTTCATTTGATAGTTGGGAAAGGAACGAAACACACGTAATGTTGAACCCGACATTAATGTGAAAACCAACATGCATTTTTTTTATAGTAAGTTTAGGTGAAGATTTCTCACATTTATAATAAGAACAACTCTTCTTCATGATTTCTTAGACATTCAATTTGTTAGTTCAACAACTTTGGTAACAAGTAAACCAAACCTATTTATTATTTGATGTATGATGTGTAATATACACATATACTCCTCATTTAAAGCTAAGGATTACATAGTGCAAAAAAGGAAAATAAAAAGTCATTGTTCCACATTTTTCACGTAAAACACGTAGTAATTATGTCACGTACATTGTACATTGAATTTACAACAAGTCAACAACAACAACCAATTTTCCACTTATACAATTAAATATCGCAATAGTGAAGAAAATATCTAGTTTCCAAAACGGAATATTATAATTGTTTTGAAGAGAACACATCCGTCATTAATAGCCATACATCCACCGCTATAAACATTGTTTTATGAACGATTAACGACATAATCTTTAGTCTATTTGTAATCGCCCGTTTATTTGTAATTCATTTTAATAAAATAAAAAAAAAAGAGTTCATATATATATATATTCATCGCTAATTGCCGATAGTACATATTAAATTAACGATTTTCTTGCAAAACAAAAGTATGTAGCTAGATTTTTTTTACTTATGAATACATCCGTTCAACGTATAGATTTTTAATTCAAACTATATATATCAATATGTGGCAACAAATTAAGGGAGAAAGAGAGAACATTCTTTAATTGGACATTTTTCTTAATTAATACTCTTTTTGCTATTGTTTCCTGTGAGAAAATCAAGCAAAACTTGACTGTTGCATCTAGGGCATGTAGGGTTACTACTCTCTAAAGACATGATGATATACATGATGCAATTAGGGCAACCAACGACCACCATTGATTTAGCCTCTCCTCCTCCACCTTCAGCTTCTTCCGAACACAACGACGACGATGAGCTCTCCGTGAGCAAAGATGAATCTAGTGATGGCGAAATATTTAGTTTTAGATCAAGTTCAAGATTACTCGCAACTTCTTGTTGATTCATGTTCCTTGCCTTTCCAAGAAGAGTATGATATATTCTGTGAAATCATCAGAATAAGAAACACAATAAAAATTCAATGAAGATTCATGTGGTTTAAAACATGATCAATTAAATCTATCAATCAAGAAGTGAAGATGATAATAACCATACTTCAATATATAAGAACAGAAGTTATTGGATGAGAACAAATTAACTTGGAACTTTGTTATAAGAAAATTAGCTTACCTTGGTGAAGACTAATCTTGTTCTTGTTTTTGAGATTTAAAGAAAGAAAAGTTTGACGTCTATATGTTATTGGCGCTTGTTATATATAGATGAGAGAGGGTTTCATTGAGTGTATAATAATTAATTAGTTTGATTTAGCTTTCAGAAATAAATATTCTTACAAAATAATTGTAAAAAATGAGGTGTTTGCAGCAATAAGTATCATTTGAAAAGGACATGGAAAGATTGAGTATATGACTTGGGCTTTGAAATTGCATTTATTACCAAATAGTATTTGGATAAATACAAACGAGATACTTTGTCCTTTTTAATTAATCTTACAAGTTTTTACTATGAAAATTGAAATTCAAACTGAGAGAGAGAAGTAGACCATTTGTTTTGTACATGTAATGGTAATGTAGATAAATAGGTGTTGACAAAATAAAAATGTAGTTAAATGGGTAGGTGATAGTCATAGATTTTATCATGGCATGAAAATTGAAGCGGATAGTTGTTTTCAAGTCCCCACAAATGAATCGATAGTATAACGTTCAAAATGATATTTTCATAGAAATTAAATAAAATTTTCATATAATAATGTTTCAAGAAAAATTTAAAGTGGTCGAAAAATTGATGTTAAAATGCACGGCCAAGAAAATGATATAAAGATTGACCCAAAAAAAATGAATGGCTTTCGGATGCTAATATAACTGACTTTAGAAAGTTAAATAAAATGTAAGAATATCAAAGAGTAAATGAAAATTAATATTCCTTGGAATTTGGTTTTATTTGACTTACCAAAAATGTGGACTATGGTTGGTGTCTAACAGAGATTTAGGCTCTGAATGATGATATCATGACATAAGATTGCATTTGTCATGTTAGACTTTGAAGTAAAATAGGAAAAACAAACCAAAGTTTGACTATACGATCACACGCATGTACATATATATACATAATACACATAAAATTTATGTGTGTGATCGTATAGTCAAACTTTGGTTTGTTTTTTGATTTTACTTTGAATGTGGACAAATAAAAGTGTCGTCCAAAAAAAAGTTAGGCGCAAATAAGAGTATGATATTCGTGTGCGCATTTGATAGATAATGACAAGAATCAAACCATAAGCAACTAAAGGTATTACAAGTACCATAATCTCAAATTTCATTAGACACTTAGTACCTCAACATTTGTCATTAACAAGGCAATCCTCCTAAACAAATCATCAGCAAGTTTTTAACACGAGAGAAATAAATTACAACATTTGGAGCTTAGAGAACAAAGGAGGACTTTAAATTGTTTTTGTTTCCACAGCTTTTACATATTGGGTTATTTATTTAGAGTTGTACTGGACGATCTTAGTCCTCCACGATGTGTTTCCTCTCTAGCTCGATGAATTGTTTGTTTAGATGGGTGGTTTCAGTGATGTTTCGTGTCTCGTTCTCTCCTTTGCATCGCAGTAACTGCATTTGAAGATTTCGTACAAGGTCGTTCAGCCTCTGGATATGTCTCTCTTGTGACAAGATGATCTGTAACGATAAACAAAATACTAAAAAGTCTGTAACAATCAATATGTCTCCAATTCCATGTTTCAACATAGAACAAGATGTGTGTTTAGTAAGGTTCAGAACTAAGCAGAAACATGAGGTTATTCATATATCCAAATGGAACCTAAGGTTGAAAGACAGAGAAGTTTTTATACTAAATTTCTCAATCAACCTCAATTGCTTGATGCAATCAGAGAAAATCCAATAGAAGGCTCAAACCAATACTTCAATACTACATTAAGAATTCTGATTAAGCCACTGATGGATTCGAGACACATTATCACAAAGAGGAGAGATAAAGAAACGAAATCCAATCCCGAAAGAAGGAAAAATTGTGCAGAGTCCCATGAAACTATAAGCACTTCAATGCCAAGAATAAAGCCAGAAAGAAAAACAACAAATGTATATAAACCGATAGATAAACCAAAAAGACTCGTGATGCAAATATTTAGCATCAGAGCATTATACAGTGTTTGACTCTATCCAAATATGCATATCTCTTCTAATGTTTTACGAAACCCGTAAGTCATGGTCTCAAAGCCATTTCAGGTCTTTTGCATACAACTGAACACACAGAATTTCCATAAACAGAGTTAGAACCAGTACCTTCTCCTTCACAGCTTCTTCCTTCTTTGCAATTTGGTGCTGTTTGTGAGCCAAGGTAGGAGCTGCATCAAGCTCAACAAGTGGTTGTTGCCTCCATTCAAACTGTGAGGTGACTATGAGTATGACCAGAAGAAAGACGAGCAAGATCGGCCTCGACATTCTCTCTCTAAATCTTACCAAACCTGCCAAATTCACAATAAAAATCATCCATTTCATACATCCTAATCACATTACGATCAACACATCCAAGACCACACCTAATCGAAATGTGAAATGTATCGGAGAAAATAAGATCGAAAGTGGCTAAATAAAAATTCACCTACCACTTCAATTTTTTCTAGACAAAACCAAAAGTAGAACAAGATAATCAGTGTGAACTACTAATAACAGAGAACCCATCATGAAAATTTCTACCTTCATATGTAACTACTAAGGATAAGCTGCAATAACACCAATCAAACCTAGGGCTACAGAAATCGATCTCCTAAGCAATACAAACAAAAATCAAAGACGATTACGGTATCTTTGAACTTACAAATCGAATTTGAACGGTGAAAGCAAACTTCATTATCGAATCCTCGTCTTCCCTAGGGTTTCTTTTTTTTCTCCGGCGAAAACGGAAACTGACCGAGAGATCTTTCGATAAAATCGTTTATCTCCGAAGTGAAGCTACTTGGATTTTCCAAAATGGGCTCTCGTGTAGAAGAGAGAGCGAGAGAAATGCAAAGCAGAGGTTTAATGGCGAAAAATAAAACCGTCTTCGAGAGACGAAGAAGAAGGTCCGAATTAGAAAAAGGAATAATTTACAAAATTACCCCAAGCATTTATCCATCCATTTCTAATTAAACCGGGTTTTGATTACCGGTTTGTTTGTAGTTCAGTAAAACCCGAACCAAAACCAAGTACAACCAAATACAACATTGACCGCTAACACAAAAACATCGAGAAGAAGCAATGCCCAAGAAAGCACAAGACAAGGGCATTGGTTCTTAGTTACTTCCATAGCCTTATTATTACTCTTGATAAAACAACATTACTAGTACAGCCACTACACATATAATAACATCCCATCGTGCTCGGTTCACTGTCTTGATCGAGTATAGACCAACGAAGCAGCTCGACAATGATTCCATGGTATCTGTTGTTCCTTGCTTCTTCTGTGATGGTCTTTCTTCTAACAGTGAAGCCATTTGTCTGTCTACCACGTTTGGTAAAGGAAGTACCCTTATCGCATTTGATGCTGATTCTAGTGTCGGGATTTCGTTCGGTGTGCTCCCATTGTTCACGGTTTCATCAAGATTGATGATTTCGTCCCTTAGGATATCCGCAAAGAAATCCTCTTCAGTATGCACCTACAAACACACACACGCAAAATTCATCAAGAAATACGAGAATCAAGAACCATCATCATCCAAAACTCTTGAGGGTGGACATAGTTTACAAGGATACATCCGTGTAGCGTATAGGCCACAAAAGTACATGCAAGCACACAATTGTTATTAAGAAAACCTGTAATTATCCTACACTAGAAACAACTAAACCAATGCGCAAATGGTAGATCTATATTCATCAACAAGAAGTGAAAAAACCTGTAGATTTTCTGCTGTTTCCGCCATCTCATTGAGCAGTGTCTCCCCTGGTTCACCTGCTAGGTAGAAATCAACCATGTCGTCCCAATCAGACGGGCTCCCTGAACAAGAAGGACCATTTTGCAAGATCATCTGCTTCTCGGCTGCTACATTTGGCTCTGGTGCCTTCTGACTTGTACAACTATGGAATTCTTTGTTTCTCCTAACCCGGCAAACAACCATAGCATCATCCTAGAATTCACACAAGATAATCAATCAACTCAAGCCAAAGACCAAAATCCTAAACTGTAAATGAATTTCCTCAACCAAATGGCTCGAGTAGCTCAAGTAAACCTCTTATGTAAATGATTTTGACAAAAAAAAAAAAGTAAAAGACAAACAAAGTCTCAGAACAGTTTACCATCGGTACTTCTTTCATGCAGTACTCGTGCATAATCCATTCTGTTCTTTCGCCTTTTGGTGCACGACCGATATGGAATACAAGCGTCCTCTTTGTTCCGATTACTTCAGAACTAGACTTCACATCACGTTCTTTCCCAGTAGCTTTCCAGTATCCCATCTTGGTTGCTCTCCTGTTCTGTGAACCATGTGGATACTTTTTGCCACGGGAACAGAAGAAGAACCATTCGGTATCAGATTTAACAATCGACATATCTGAAAAAGGAAAAATCACAACAACAAAAAAATGTCAATTTCCAGAGCTGAAAACTTAGAAACTTTTATTAATCAGAGCATGTCATAGGCCAAGATTCTCTAATTCAGTACCAAGCAGTGTTCATATAAGAAGGATTAACCGATTTGGAGCATACTGAAAACACATATTCACAACTTCAAATTGAATCCAAAGGTTTCTCTAAGTTACCCTAATTTCAAAGGATTTCCACAATTCAATTGGATTCAAACGACTGAGCCTTGAGCCTTACCTTCCTCTGGAAACTGCTAAAATTCC